CCCCCCCCCCCAATCTCTGGTAGTAAGAATGTTCTTTTCTTCCTGGTCTGGGGAGGGTAGGTTTCCCATGGAATAATTATCTGCTTTCAGAAATAAAAGATGTCACAGCCTCATTTTTGCATTTGCTGTATTTAAACTGCCTATAACTCAAAATAATCCTTATGCCAAAGTGGCATATTTTGGGATGGTGTATTCTGCTACCTTTCAGCTGATAGGAGTAATAAACAGGGTCAGAATACAGCAGAGATTAAATTCTTACTGAGTTTGGATTTGGCAATTAACAGGTCAGTGGTAAACATCGCAAGGGTATTTGTTAGTGAGTGATTGGTGCCGTAGAAGTCATTGTCAAGAATTGTGACTCCAGATTATTCAAACCTTGGAGATTTGCTACAATGGGAAGGATGTAGTAATTGATAGGGGTATGGATTAAGTTGAGACACTAAAATATATTTACATATGGAAGGAGCCAATAGACATTAAAACTTGAAGATGGGATATCATTATGGTTAGAGTAGGATGAGCAACCAATTTATTATCTAATTGAATAAGCTATTGATAGTGGAGGCTGGCTTCACTTGTAACTAACCTTAAACATAACGTGTACAGACTGAAGTTGTCCCTGGTAAACTAGGGTGACTTTTCACTCTGCATTTAAGTGACACAAATACAAGTCCTTAGGTAGGGAAAGGATTTCGGACTCAGGAGGGAGGGTGAGCATTGGATGGTCTAAAGGCTACTTCTTTTGCGTGGCGGGAGAATGGAGATATAAGGATGCAGTCGGGGTCACAGGTGGGAAGGCCTTAAGCTGAAAGAACACAAGAAGGGACGTTTAAATTAAATTATCAAAATTTTGGAAATACAGCTGGAAGATGATCGAAGTCATACTCGAGTTCCACATCCTCAGGAATGCACTGGGTAAGACAAGAGTTTAAAATGTCTCTTCCACTCCTGACGTGAGTTCCCTACCCTAGCTATCCACCCAGAATCGCAGCGGTTTCCCCAGGAGGGAGGTTAAAGGCCCGCGCGCCCCCTGGAGGACGCAGGTGCTGGGTCAGCAGAACCTCCTGGAAAAATGAATTTCGATGCTTGTGGGACACAATGAAACCACTTAGTAATGTAGTAACACTTCGATTAGGAAGCTGCTGCCATTCTAAAATAAATTTGCTCCACGTGGTTCAAGCACCAGCTCCCAAACGCGCGAGCCTCCCCCCTCCCGCCTTGATCTCACTTCAGTCGCCATCTTAGGCGATGACCGCCAACTGGAAAAATGTCCAAAAAAATGGCACCGCCAGGCTTGGCAAAGGGACTTGTGTTCAAGGTCAGAACGGCAACAGACTTCCGCCACGAAGTACCAAGTGTTACCTCCAGGCTCGGTTGTGAGCGACAGCCCTTCTGTGACCAGGTGGGTGGCCCTGAGAAGGGCCTTTGGGAACCAGCCGGGGCCTCGGGAGCGCGCGGCGGGGAGGCTCAGCCCCCGAAGCCGTAGAGGGTGCGGCCCTGGCGCTTGAGCGCGTACACCACGTCCATGGCCGTGACCGTCTTGCGCTTGGCGTGCTCCGTGTAGGTGACGGCGTCCCGGATCACGTTCTCCAGGAACACCTTGAGCACCCCGCGGGTCTCCTCGTAGATGAGCCCGGAGATGCGCTTGACGCCGCCGCGCCGGGCCAGGCGCCGGATGGCGGGCTTGGTGATGCCCTGGATGTTGTCGCGCAGCACCTTGCGGTGGCGCTTGGCGCCGCCCTTGCCGAGTCCCTTGCCACCTTTGCCGCGTCCCGACATTGCTGAGACCTAACGCCCGTCACACGGCTGTGCGCAGCGCTGGCTGCAGCTCCTTATATATCACTTTCCCGAGCGTTTCAGGAAACTGAAAGGCCAGGGGGCGGGGAAAGGCGCTGGGTTTCTGACTCTTTCCTGTTTGCTCGCCGGGGTCCAGAGTCGCTGGTTTCTGTGGTCTCTAGTTTTGTGCCTGTGGGTTGTCGGAGATAATTGGTCTTCTGACCACAGTCTCATTTATAAAAAAGGGGCAGTAACGCTACATTTGTCTAGAGAAGGGCGAGACACCGGGATAAAATTGATATTTAAATGTGAAGATTCTTCTAAAAATATCAGTGTTTATTATTCCAACTCTAGCAATACTTATTGAATTTGACTGATTGTGGAACTTGCCTGTTTGCAGAGAATAACAATATACATCGTTTTCAACATCCTAAGGAGGAGCTCTAGGAAGGGGAATCGATGTTAATTGAAGTTCCACATTTTGCTCCCAAATTTGTAAAGTACTCCTTGCGTTGTAAAAAGGAAGAATCCCAGGCTTGGAGAACTCCACTGATTCTTGTGTGTGGTGTTGGGGTTAGAACCGTGTCCTTCTGTGTCTGGAGTCTTAGGACCCCGCCACCTACCAATCACCTATGCCAACAATGCAATGAAATGTTTGCAAATTTACAAAATTAATAAAAATAATAAATTGTGAAATACTGTCCAAGTAAAAAGAGTAACTGAACTGATGTTCTACACACAGATGATACAGGTTCACATGACTGACAGACAAATGCCAACATTTACTCACACTCCATACTTTCACGCTGAGTGCCTTCTATGTACGACAGAGGTGATGAAAAAACCCTTCTCTGCTAGTGCTTACCATTTGGGTAGTCAGAAGAGTAATCACTTCCTGCAGTCAGAGCCTCAGGCAAAGATGTAAGCCGACTTTGACACAGTGATCTCCCATGCTCTCTTTTTTGAGAACATGACCAAACAAGAGTCATTGATTGATTGACCCATCCACCTATTCATTCATTTCTTCATTCATTCATTCATCCATGCAACAATTCAGGGTTTACTACATGCCAAGAGTGGTGTGTAAATACCAAGTGCACAAACACAATCACACACGTTCTTTTAAAAAACTCAAAGTCAACCTGAGGGGGCGAGGTCAGCCACCAGCCCACCCACCATGCCTCTAGTTTCTGCCTGTTGGTGAAGGGTGGTGGTGTGCCAGAGCAGTTGTACCCCATCAGCGTGGGCATCCCTGGGGAGCTTGTTAGACTTACAGAATCTGCTGTAAGTATAAACGACCCCAAACCTACTGAATTGACATGCCATTTGAATAAGATCTCATAGTTCTTGTTCACATACAAGGTTAAGTTCACATACAAGATTTCAAAGAGTTGTTTTAAAGCTGTGCTCTTCCACGTGTGTGTCTTTAAATAAAACTTAAATAAAATTAAAAATGCATTTCTTCAGCTACTCCAGGCACATTAAGCGCTCAGTAAGTACATGTTGGCCGACTATCTCCATTGCAGTAAGCTCTGTTAGGCTGTGTTGAGATAGGGAATTTCTTAGAAAGAACTTCCAGTGCACACTGTGGTGGGTATCGTAGAGGGAGGTGAAGGATGGAGTCTTTTTAAGTATATTAGAAATGAGCCAACTTCCGGGTGTACTAGATATTACAAATAGAGTGAGGGACATGTAAAAGGGACTTGGAAGTTTGAGATAGTAGAGCCCCTTCTAGGAAATAAAATTCACAAGATATAGTTGTGCCTGGAGCGGAGTTTCAAGTAGGAGCATGTCCTCAGGTGAGACTGTGATGGGAAGTTAAAATAGATGTGATTTCTCATGGTCCCTCTGAACACATTTTGTTCTCACACAGTGCCTTATGTGCTACATAGCCCTTATATTTTCTTTGCCCTTTTTGGTACTTATTCAACATAGCCACCCTCCCTCTTCAACCTTGGAAATTTACTGAGTCTTGGAATATTTAGTGCAGCCCATGTGCATTGACCTGGTGACTACTGCCTGTAGGTCCCGGTCATTCACAACGCCGACGGGGTTAATACGACAGGTGAGTGAAGAAGTCATGAGTGAGATGGCCATCACTTATTTGTGGTTTTCTCAGTTACTTTTTGCATCTATAAAATAAATGGTTTGAGTCTTAGTACAGTGGAAAACCCACTGCTTTAAGATATATACAGACTTAGAATGCAAAAGTAATAAACACAACTTTTTGTGGGCTACCAAAGGAATAGGTGAAAAATTTCAAGTGTTCAGTCCCATGCAGTGATTCAGTGTTCCAGAACCTTCTCACTACAGCCACAGCGAGGATAATTGCCTGGGTCTCAAGCAATAGCAGTAATTATATGCAACACCACCTCATCCTTCTAGAAACACCCAGGGAAGATCTTTTCAGGTGAAAGCAGTTATCTCATTTTTGAGAGGGACAGTGATTATCTACAGAAGGCCCTTAGTCCCAGTATCTTCTCACTGATTTGGAACCTACATAGCCATGGGATCCAGTAAGAGTTGTACAAGAATGAAATGGTGACATGTGCCATAGAAAGAACTTTTCACCTATCTTAAATCACATATGTGTAATGTAGGCAATAATTCCAGCAATTATGTAACAACTGATGTTATGACTACAAGATTGGCCAAAATAGTAAACTTGTAAAAATCTGAATGTTAATTGTACCTTTATGTCTAGATAATATTAGGCTCTGGACTTAAAAGGAAAAGGCCTATTTAATGTTTGTGGTCATTGCTATTCACAATGTGCCACCAAAACCACAGTCTCTAGACACCCATACAATGCCTGTCAAGGAGAGTGCCAGGGACCCAGTCCCACCAGCTTACCTTTTTATACAGTGTTTGTGTTTGGTGTATAACGTGGTCTCCAGTACCAGGGACATGGTTTCACTCAGCGCCTGCCAAGAAATGGCTATTTAAAAACAAGCCAAATGATTTTTTTAAAAAATGGAATTAGCTAAATGTAGAGAAAGAATATCTTTAAATGTGATTGTTTTATCTTGGACTTATGTGAGAAAATTCTCAAATCACTATGGAATCTAGGCCAGAATAACTAGATTTTTGGAACTAGCGGTATTTATTACAGAAAACAAAACACCCCAGTGCTTTTCTTGTTTATTTTACAAATACGAGGTATAATTTCAGTATCAGATTATTCGGATACTTTTGTGCTTAATTATTCAGTATTTACTGAATTCCATGAGCTCTGTCATGTTGCACACTAAATGAGATGGAGTAGTAAAGTCAGTCATGCTTGCTATGACTTTTTTGGTCAACCCCTTAGGTGGACATATTCAGCCAATGATTTTAGGTTGTGACAGCCTCGTTCATCTTTTGTTAGAAAGAACCCACAGAGAAATAGGGAAATCCAGAAAGTGATTTACAATATTAAAAATAAAGTCAAATCAGACTTGTGTTTTAAAAATCATTTTGAAATATAGGAAATATGCTGAAAATTGTACGCTAAATATTGCAGGAAAAAAATCTTAAGGTTAAGATGTGTGTCATTAAGTAATTGACAACTTGGAGGCAAGGGGATTACAAACAGGTGGTCTTGTGGTTTTCTTCACCTCACAGCTGGGAAGTTGATGCAGAGCTGCCTTTCTCTGGCTTCATGATTCGCTTTTTCTTCTTTGTAGATGGGGTGGTTTGTCTCCAATGCCATTCTACGTCTAACAAAATCGACGTTGCTACTTTTAAAAAGGAGATTGGTGACTCTAGTTAGAACTGATTATCTAGAAAACGGACGAATCAGCCTCGCCCCCCATCCTTCTCAAGATACTCAAATCCCCAAAACACCTGGATCAAACTCAGATTCCACAATGGTCAAATACCCTGAATAAACATTCCACCTTTTCTAAAATAGTTGTCCATCGTGTGTGCAGTTTTCTCCCCTGGTGCCAATCCGCACGGCTCAGTGCAAACAACCTGGGGGAGATGTGTGCTATTGCGCTCGCGAAAAACCCGATTTTCCTTGTCTATTTACGTACAACTGAGTTTGTTTACACCAAGTTGTGAAGAAAAGACTGTGTAGAATTATTACCCGGAGGAAAGATTTGCAAAGGAAACAGAGAGAAACGGTATTTTTAAGGAAAATCTGAAAGTTGTCTCACTTTGACTGAAGTTTGAGAGAGACTTGGGGGAATCAGGGAAGTTTCAGGGCGCCGGCTTTGAAAGCAGGTAAAGCACAGAAGGCAAGCCTGGAGCCTGAAGACTCCCGGATCCATTTCCCCCAAATCCCTAATTATTTTGTGCCCAGATTTCTTATATTTTTCTTCTTTTTTAAAGGGCAAGAAACACAGCCACCCGGCAGAGCGGAGGAGCCTTCTGAGCCGCGCGGCGCACGCAGCCCGCAGCCAATCACCACGCGGCGACTCGCTATATAAACCCCCGCCGCCCGCGCCCGGCAACGCCGCTCTGCCAGTTCGAGTCTCTTTTTGTCTCTTCTGACGGAACAGGAAAATGTCGGAGACTGCGCCGGTGGCTCCCGCCGCTCCCGCCCCTGCGGAGAAGACGGCCGTGAAGAAGAAAGCGAAGCGCGCGGGCGGAGCCGCCAAGCGCAAGGCGTCCGGGCCCCCGGTGTCCGAGCTCATCACCAAGGCCGTGGCCGCCTCCAAGGAGCGCAGCGGCGTGTCGCTGGCCGCGCTCAAGAAGGCGCTGGCGGCCGCCGGCTACGACGTGGACAAGAACAACAGCCGCATCAAGCTGGGCCTCA